ATATATATGTACGTATACATATTATGTTCCATCCCCAATCTCTCTAAAACCACAGCAGCTGTTTTAATACTAACACTTCTGATGAAATCTACCAAGTGTTGCTTTATTTTGATACCAGGATTATTTAAGTACAGTTTGAAAATGCTGAGAAACACTCAGCTACATTTCAGCATGGTATTTTGAGCAAAAACTTCAAGAAAACCCCTTGGGGCTTAAGAGGTTAAAGCACTTGTGGGCCTCATAAAATGACATGGTGGGCCACATTTGGCCCACGGTYCTTGAGTTTGACATACATGATTTAGAGGTCTGTACATGACTCTTAAGCCTTGTTTTCTGACAGAAATGGAAAGCGAGGTCAGGGCTGGGAGAGAAAATACATCATCCTGGATGGCACTAAGGTGTCAGTTTATGAGATMGAGCCCAGAGAAGGTAAGACTTAAATCTGACTGGGTCATTAGCAAACAGACTACCAGAAGTAACCTGGCCTCTGTCTACAGACTCTGTGAAGCCGCTGGAGGAGTTTGACTTGTGTCTATCTGATGGAGAAGTGATGGTTCATGGAGCAGTTGGAGCTTCTGAGCTTCCAAACACTGCAAAGTCTGGTGGGCACAAAGTTTATTTGGTCTACGGATGTTCAAATATTTTTTTCCACATCAACAAATCTTGTGCTGATTTACCATTTATAGGACTTTCCCATCTGATTGTTGTTCAGTCTTTCTGTCTTTTTTGTTTTATCACGTCGCTTTCCTTGATCCTGCAGCTTATAGAACMCTTTCCAGTTTTTGTCCTGTCATTTCTATCTTTAAAAACAAAGCCTGTTAGAATTAATTAGCGTGACGTTAACTCTGAAGTTGAATCTCCTGTGTTTGTGTCAGATGTCCCCTTTGTCCTGAAGCTGGAGTCTCGGTGTCACACTCCCTGCTGGCCTGGTCAGTCCATCTACTTCATGGCCCCCAGTTTTCCAGAAAAGCAGCGCTGGGTGGCTGTGATGGAGTCTGTGGTGGCTGGGGGACGAGCCTCGCGGGAGAAAGCAGAGGCTGATGCAGTGAGTATTTCTGAAGCCAGCACCTGGACATAAACAGCTGTCTCTGTGGACCTGGAAGGTCCTACATTATTAAAACTGYTCTCTCAGATAAATGTTACATTGATGGCTTTAACCTAGCCTTTCTCTGAGGAACAAGTTTACTTTTTGGTGGGACTGGAAGATAAAAGTTTTAGGTTTTAAATGCATGGTCATCAAAAWACATGTGTCATTAACTGTCTCCTTCTCTCCTCTGCTCTTTTCTTCTCTCTGTCTCTTCCATCACCACTTGTTGCTTTTTCATCATGTCACACTCTGTGTCTGGTTTATGGATATGTTTTGCTCATTTGCTTGATTATACTGGACTCACTGTTTTTTTAAAAAATAGGCTCTTTTGTCCAAAAGGCATCTGGTTCTGTCTCCTCTGGTGCAGGTAAAGAGTTCAGAGATGCTGATTGAAGGCGTTTCATATAAACACCACATACAGTCATGAGAAAACAGCCTACCCTCTTTCAGTTCTAGATTTTTAAATATCACAGCTTAATACAAATATTCTGGTCTTCATATGGCTTTGAAATTATTCAAATTTAACTTCAAATAAACAAAAAAAAAGACACAACTGATTTAACAATGGCATTGTGAACTATGTGAAAACAAAGTCAGCCTCATGATCCATTAGGTTGTTAGAGTTTAGGTTAGGTTGTAGTCTGGTGTTGTGTTAACTCACCTGAATGCTCCAAACYGTTAAAACTCCTGCATTTAAAGTGCTGATCATACTGATGATATTTCAATTAGGTTTATTTATATAGCACCAAGTCACAACAAACATCGTCTCAGGGCACTCATAACAAAAAATAAATCTAAAGAAGCCAGCAGATTGTGTTGAATCACTTCATCACAGTCTCCCATCCTGAGCAGCACATTGGTGACAGTGGAGAGGAAAAACTCCTTTTAACAGGAAGAAACCTCCAGCAGAACCAGAACCAGGCTCAGGACAGGCGGCCATCTGCCTTGACCAGTTTGGATGGGGGGACAGGAAAGATACACAGAAGGACTGGTCCAGGTGCATTTTCTACTGGAAGAGAGACAAAGAAAAAAACATGTTATTGATAGAAATAATTACAATAAACATGTAGAGAARAGAGACTAAASACAACAGCAGAGTGAGGAAATGTGCTCAGTTTGTGCTCCAGCAGTCTAAGTCTACAGCAGAAGAAAAGAAGAATAACTCAGGAAACCTAAGTCTAACTATTAGGATTTATCAAAAAGGAAAGTCTTCAGTCTAATCTTAAAAGTAGACAGAGTGTCAGCCTCAYGGACAGAAACTGGAAGTTGGTTCCACAAGAGAGGAGCTTGATAACTGAAAGCTCTGCCTCCCATTCTACTTTTAGAAACTCCAGGAACCACAAGTAAACCTGCAGTCTGAGAGTGAAGTGYTCTGTTAGGAAAGTATGGAACAATAAGATGTTTAATATATGATGGAGCTTGGTTGTTAAGAGCTTTGTATGTTAGGAGTAATATTTTAAATTCTATTCTGAATTTGACAGGGAGCCAGTGGAGAGAAGCTAAAACTGGAGAAATACAGTATGATCTCTCCTTACAACTCTCATTAAAACTCTAGCAGTAGCAGCATTTTGGATCAACTGAAGACTTCTTAAAGAGTTTTTTGGATGTCCAGATGATAAAGAATTACAGTAATCCAGCCTGGACATGATAAATGAGACATGAATCAGTTTTTCTGCATCMTTTTTGGACAAAATGTTTCTAATTTTAGTGATATTACACAGGTGGAAGAAGGCGGTCCTGGTAACACTTTTAATATGGGGTTAAAAGACATATCCTGGTCAAAAATAACACCAAGTTTCTTTACATTAGAACTGGAGGCCAGATTAATGCCATCCAGAGGAGGTGAAAGGCTACAAAGTTGATCCCTAAGATGTTCAGGTCCAAAAACCAKAACCTCTGTCTTATCTGAGTTTAGAAGCAATTCACTTCATCAATACGTCTGAGCAGCACCTGACTGAGGTTAGATTTGAATTATTTCAGAACCAGGTAAAAGTATTATGCTCTAAAATCTAAAAACTCTAGACCTGAAAGAGGGAGTTCCTATTTCCATCATTGTCTACAGCAGCAGTGGGCAGTCCTGGTCCTCTGGGCCTAATCCTGTATGTCCTACTTGTTTCTCTGCTCCAACGTGACTTGAATAAATGGGTGATTAACAGGCCTCTGCAGAACTGTCAGGTGTGTTTACAGCAAAACAAGTAAAACAAACAGGACTGTGGCCCTCGAGGACCAGGATCCTGGTCTACACACACCCTGCTGAAGCCCTCAGCACTGCATGTGTGTCACTGTGTTGCTTATTTCACTTCCTGCTTTCACCTCACCTGCTGTCGCTGCTCCTTATCAGACATTTTGTCAAGTCAACAAGACTCTGTTTTGTAAGCAAACATAAAGGTTCTTACCAAGATGCCTCACTAAGGTGATGMTGATGATTAAGATACCACTGACTGCTTGGTTTGTTTCTACTCTTTCAGAAGCTTCTTGGGAATTCTCTGTTAAAACTGGAAGGAGACGACAGACTGGACATTAACTGCACCCTTCCTCTCACAGATCAGGTACATTAGAGTATGTTTGTGAAAAGATCAGGAAACTGTTTTCTTGTGCTCTTTAACTAGTTTTGATTTATTTTATAACCTACAGCAGGGGTGTCAAATTCATTTTCATTAAGGGCCACGTGTTCGTTACGGTGGCCCTCAAAGGGCCAGGTGTAGTTAACTTTAACGTTTCACATTAAACTTGGACTAAACGGAAAACATCTTGTTCCTGTCTCATTGCTGCAGCTGAGCACTGCTAACAAACAATAACTCTACCTGGTATTTCCTGCTTAGAAACAGTGTTTAACACATTCTCTTTCAAACACTGAAAAGTACTATGCGCAACTAACTAAATGTGAAACTAATAATACAGAAATACTATTAAAATTAAAAGTAAGAGAGTTTTACTCACTGAGTTGTGGTGAGTAGCTGCCTGGGGGCAGACGTTATAAGATTTTTTTCTTCTTTCTGCTCCCTTTTGAGAATGAATCACAATGATTGTGGTCATAATTCATTATGATTTTGTGTTGTGCTGGAAATTGTTTTGTTTTTTTAATTAAATGTTTTGGATTTAATTAAATGAAAAAAAAAACTTAACTCTTACTTCCTACAGGGAATTCCCAGCATACAGTAAACAACATGCATTATGGGAGCTGTAGTTTATGGTGGACGCTGGCTTTACGGCAGCTTATTTTAAAACATTAATACTGAACTAACTAACTAAACTAGTTACTTAAAGCCATCAGCTCAGGGGCAGGACAGTATTATTATCTTTCACCTTTTAAATGTTTTTATTTTGTTGCGTTGAATCATAAATTTAAAGTTTACCATTGATATTGACACGTGATCAGTTTTCTTCATAGCAGAACAGTTGATGAGAATTTGCCCACCATGCTCACCTAAATGATGTTCAGCTGTTAGTTTTGTCTTTTTATTTGTTTATTTTTATGCATTAGTTTTGTTTGTTTGTTTGCTACAGATCGTCCTGGTGGGGTCTGAAGAGGGTCTGTATGCGTTGAATGTTATTAAGAACTCCTTGACTCACATCCCTGGCCTGGGGTCAGTTTTTCAGATCCAGATCATCAAAGAGCAGGAAAAACTGCTGATGATTGTCGGTAAGATGTCCCGTCTCATTGTTTTCTGTAAGATGAAGGAAGAAAGTCCTGACTTTTTTTGTGGCTTTAGATGCTGTCGTTAAAAAGAACTGAGATAAATCAATGAATTTGAATCTGAAGTTTGTCGCTCTSCAGTAAGAATAATTATTCACAAGTAAGTAACATTTAGGACCGTTATTCACCCCAAGGTCAGACTGTGCAATGCTACAAAAACCCTAAAAGCTCCATCTCAGACTCCACTGGCCTCAGTTAGCAGGGGAGAGGTTAAAGGTCATGACAGGACAGTTAGAAAAAGAAAGGAAAAACTAAATGGCATCACAGCTTAGGTTAGGTAAAGTTGCATCTACTGTAAATTTAAACAAGTTGGTGGTTTAGATATTTTGTAAGTGAATGACAGTAACGCTCAGCTGTCAACACATGCAGTACTTTTACAGGACCACATTAAATATGTTTGGCTAGAAGTCACAGAGAAAACCAAACAGTAAATTAGCACAAACATCTCATAACAAGTGACAAACACAGATGCTGTCAACTTGTTTTACAGCCACAGGACCTGAGCTCCTTGCAGACAGTGAGTCCAGCAGGAACTCCTCTGTAGACCAAAGGATAAACGTTCAACCATCAGTCTGACAGTTGAAGCTAAATGATCCCAAAGCCAGAAGCACAGCTACAACAGAATGACTGAAAAAGAAAATAATCGAGTCGCATTAAAGAAATGGAGCTGATYGAAGGCTTTTTAGAGAGCTGTGCAATAAATAAATACTCACAAACCTCAGTGTACCAAAGCTAAACTATTAGCTGGTAAAAAAAAATACCTGTTTATTAGGCTTAATTTCAGACATTTACACCTTGAGTAAAATGGGACCTGAGTCAAACAAAAGCAGCAACAATTAAACATTTTAATTTGTATGTTGCTAAAAGCCTGTCTGACTGATGCTGAAAATTAACCAAGACTATTTGAGTTTACGTTATTAATACGTGACACTTGTCCCTATACAGATAATCAGTACATTAAATGAAATTACTTGGAATAAGTAATAAAGCAGAACTATTAATTGATGCAGATCTAACATGATCAAAACTAATGTGATTAAACTTTCAGCCTGTTTCATGTGAGGCCCCCTGCTGGCCTGAGGCCTCCAAGCCATGGCTTATGTCAGGTTAGTTTTGAATGTTGTACAGAAGAGTGGGCCACAGTTCCTCCACAGCAGTCTGAGACTGATGAAGATCATTTGAGTTATTTTTTTGCAGGCTCAACAGATAATAAATCATGGAGTTTTCAGTCACAGATTTAGTTTGTGTTAAACACACAGCAACACACGGTCCTACTGTGCGTATGTCTGAGGGTGTACTGATCTGACTGTAGGACCAGATCACATGATGCAGCCACAGAGAACAAGATAAAAACGTTCAGTCTGTCTGTCTGGGAGCATAACGTCTGTCTGTGTGCTGCAGGGGATGAGAGGGCGCTGTGTCTGCTGGAGATTAAGAGAGTGAAGCAGTCTCTGGCTCAGTCCCACCTGCCCAGCCCAACTGAACTGGCCCCCTACATCTTTGAGACAGTGAAAGGCTGCCATCTGTTTGCTGCTGGGAGGGTATGTCCTCATCTTCTTTGTGACACTCGAGGCAAAGCAGATTGTGTGTTTTCACAGAAAATCAAAATCAGAATCAGGTTGTTCAAGTATGCTTGTTCCACTTAGAAAGGCTCACTTGCTCTTGTACTTCTAAGCACCTATTACATATTACTGAACATAAACTACAGTATATTGCCAAAAGTATTGTCTCACCTGCCTTGACTCACATATGAGCTTAAGCTACATCCCATTCCTGATCCATAGGGTTCAATATGATGTTGTTCCACCCTCTGCAGCTAGAACAGCTTCAACTCTTCTGTCCACAAGRTTTAGGAGTGTTTATGGGGATTTTTGACCATTCTTCCAGAAGCACATTTGTGAGGTCACACACTGATGTTGGACAGAAGGCCTGGCTCTCAGTCTCTGYTCTAATTCATCCTAAAGATGTTCTATCAGGTTGAGGTCAGGACTCTGTGCAGGTCAGTCCAGTTCATCCACACCAGACTCTGACATCCAGGTCTTTATGGACTTTGCTTTGTACACTGGTGCACAGTCATTTGGATGGGTGAGTAAATACTTTTGGCAATATAGTTTATGTATTGAGAATAATGGACATAACATTGAGAAGGTATAAATAGACACGAGAAGACAGAGTACACATAAAATATAAAAAACATAGACCACTTTGAACAGTAAGTTAAGGCTTGAAGGCTAAAGATGATAAAATTTTTATTTACGAGTGAATGTTTAACTACTGTATGTTTGTTCAGTGTTATGATGACCTGGGGGTCTTGTGGTTGCTCTTTCTTCACTCGAGAGGTGTAAAGGTCCTGTATGGAGGSCAGGTTAGCATCACTGATCCAGACTTAAAAATTTTCTGCAGTCTGTTTCTGTCTGGTTTGGCTGTTCAGTCAAACCGGACCGTGGTGGACTTGGCAGAGGACCGACCAAACAATGCCTGAGGAGAAGTTTACCAGCAGCTATTGTGGCCAATTAAGCTTCTTGGGGTGCAGCAGGAAGTGCATCCTCTGCTAGACTTCCTTGACGGTGGGATCTGCTGATCGTTTCAGGTCCTGGATGATAGTGGTACTCAGGAACCTGAATGTGTCCATTAGAAACACAGTGACACTGTGGCTGGAGATCAAAGGCAGAAGTCTCCTCCCGATGTCCACTGTTATTTACAGTTTTATGAAAGCTGAGCTCAAGATTGTTCTGACTGCATCAGATAAAGCTAAGGAATGTTTTGAGAAGTTTGACAGAAGAACCACTTGAGGTGCAGTCATTTGTGTAGAGAGAGAATAGCAGTGGGGACAGTACATGTCCCTGAGGGGCACCAGTGCTGATGTTATTTTCTCCTGTGATCCACAGACAGGTGGATGTTAGGACAGAGAGCTGAGACAGCTCTGACTGGAGGTCAGATGTCGAGCTGAAATCCATAAACAGGATCCTGACATGTGTTCCTGCAGAGCTGAGATGTTACAGCTCCATGTTGACTGCATTCACTGACCTGTTGCCTGCAATGCGAACTGCCAGGCGTCCAACAGGGGTTCTGTGTGGGTCCTCAGGTGGTTCAACACCAGCTTTTCGAAGGATTTCACAATCAAAAACATCAAGGACCTGAGGGCCTGTTGTCATTTAATCCTTGGATAAAGTTTTGAGGGAAGATATCATAATACTCTGTAACATGTGCACGTTCTCTTTGCAGGTAGACAACGGGCCGTGTATATGTGCTGCTATGCCAAATAAAATCACCGTTCTGCGTTACAATGACAATCTTAACAAATACTGTATCCGTAAGGTGAGTGGGACCTGCTGAGGAACAAGGGATCTGGTGAAGAGGATAGAAAATGGTTGGTGTATTTGGTGCATGCATCTGAGAGGCTTTTTACAATTACTGTCAGTAAAAAAATGCTTTAAATCAAACAGGTTTTAAAAGTAAAGCTCTTCTTCTGCATGTCTGTTTTATTACCATTTATGATATTTATAAAATGTTAATAGATGGTGGGATTCAGTCTTACACCACAGAATTATGCACATTAGTTTATTTTAGTCTGAATCACAGGTTGAGGAGTTTATAAAATACTGAGATGGAGCCATTTCTAAACTACCTGAGTCAAAATGCAACGTAGGTTTTGTGTTAATGATGAAAATAAAAATGCGGATTATGACATAATATATTATTATGACATTATGAGGAGAAAAAGTGTTAAAAATTCACATTAAATTGGAAAAGGCATTTTCACGACTTAATTAATTAAAAAGAATAAAGGAAAAATCTGAAAAGATGGTTAATGTTTCTATGCAGATTAATGCTCCTATAAGAATACGGTAGTCTGTGACTTACATGTAGTGCTGTGCAAAAGTTTTAAATCATCTTTGATTTCTTATGCTTTTCCTCCTTTAACGTGATCTTGATCAGTAGTTTTTTTTTTACAATATTTTTAAAGTTTTCTCTATATTGTGGCTGATTTTTCTCTCATTTACTGAACAGTTTTTGTACTCAGTATAAACTCAGCATATTGCATAGTTTGTAATCAAGTGTTCCAGTGGTCAAATTAAGCAGATGAACAGAACTGAAAGAAACAGGTAAAAGTTTGGACCCTTGGAAACAAAGTATGAGGCAATGAAGGATGACTCAAGACTTTTGCACAGTACTGTAAATCAATTTGTATGTTATTAATCAGAATCAGAATACTTTATTAATCCCAGCGGGAAATCACAGCAAATTACATTAACTAGTAAATATAAACATTTCACTTTTTTGCTTTTTAAATTTTCCTTGGATCTTTGTATTTTTTACAACCAATTGTCTTTTTTTAAATATATGACCATGCCAGACTTGAGTATATTCCAAATCTTCATTCACAGGAAATTGAAACTTTGGAGCCATGCAGCTGCATCCATCTGACCAGCTACAGCATCATCATCGGCACCAACAAGTTCTACGAGATTGAAATGAAGCAGTATGTGCTCGAAGGTGAGGACACAAATGAAACTTGTCTTTTCCTCTTCAGGCACCAGGAAACATCACAACATCTTCACTGATAAAGGTAACTGAGTCACTTCACAGGGAAACACAACTGTAAGAGTTCTGCTTCATCTTCTGCAGAGTTCTTGGACAAAAATGATGTGTCTCTGGCCCCGGCTGTGTTTGCAGCCTCCTCTCACAGTTTTCCCATCGCCATCATGCAGGTGGCCAGCAGTATGCAGAAGGAGGAATACCTTCTGTGTTTTCATGGTGAGTTTGAACGCACTGCTGCAGGAGTCTGCAGGAGGAGCTGACAAATCATGGACAAAGTAGTGTTTTATTAACAAGAAGTAACCATAATGAGGGAGATCAATGGGCCTCATGCAAGAACCGTTCGTACGCACAGATTTGTTCTTAAGTTGTGCGTACGAGTGATTTAGGAGAATTTGTGGCATTCACCAATGTAGTGTTTACGCCCATTTCACCTCACCTCATC